ACACACACACACTCACTCGCACACTCACTCACTCACTCTCACACACACACACACACACACGCACACCTCTCACTCGCACACCTCTCACTCACACACACACACACACTCACTCACTCACACACACACACACACACACACACACGCACTCACTCACACAGAGATATAGAAATAACAAATGACATAACACAGATGTTTGTTCTCTGGATGTCACACTCTCACACACTCACTCACTCTCTCTCTCACTCACTCACTCACACACTCACTCTCTCTCTCTCTCTCTCTCTCACACACACTCACACTCTCTCACTCACTCACTCACTCACACACGCTCACTCGCACACTCACTCACTCACTCACACACACACACACACTCACTCACACCTCTCACTCACTCACTCACTCACACACACTCACTCGCACACTCACTCACTCGCACTCACTCACTCACACACTCACATACACACACTCACTCATTCACTCACACACACCTCTTACTCACACACACACACACACATATTCAGAAGCACATACACACCCACATTTTGACATTATATTCCTTATAAAATTTAATTTCTTTTTATTCCTGTGATGCAAAGCTGAATTTTCAGCATCATTACTCCAGTCTTCAGTGTCACATGATCCTCCAGAAATCAGTCTGATGTGATGATTTGCTGCTCAAGAAACATTTATGACTATTATGATGTTGTGCAGCTTCATATATTTTTTGTAGAAATCGTTTGTGACTTTATGAATCTCTTTAATCTCATTTCTTTTTTTCAATTCAAGTCAATTTCTTGCCGAATAAAAGTCTTTAAAAATGTTTACTTCTTACAAACTGTTGAATGCTATTATACTTTTGGTCTCATTGAATATTTTGATGCATTTTGAAATACATTTAAATGATGAATGGCACCTGGAGCAGCACTTGCACTCTGAGACAACGAGTAAGAACTCCAGTTCACATTACTTTGTCATATTCTTTGCATGTGTCATAGATAAGAATGTGGTGAAGGCTGTGCTCAAAAGAGTTCTCATCAACGCTAAAAGCCATGACTCACAGGTCTGAACACTTTTGCATGTTTAAATGTTTTAGATTATTCGATATTAAACGCATCTGTTGTTTCTTGGCTACATGAGCTCATTGTTGATGTGTTGTGTTTCAGTATCTTTGGCTTAAACCTCCTTCTCCCAAAAGCGCTCTTGATCAGTCACGGCAGTTAAGGAGGAGGAATGCAGGAAAAGCTACATATCGAATTAGTACGTGCAGTATTTTGGCTATTTTCTTTTTCTGTCCTTTATGTTCTTTTTGACTTTTTAATGTTGTTCTCTGCAGGCTCTCGCCGGTCCTCCTCTGTAAACTCTGTATGGAGGCCTGGTTCAGTGGGGTACGTCCCATGGCGCACTGCTGCTCGGGCTGGCTTACAAAGGTAAGCACAAAGATGTTAGCGATACCAGCCGTAGGATAGACTTCAGACAGTTTGGACAGGAACTCTTCCAGAATACATTCAAATGTGTGAGAAGCAATTCAATCCTTCTGCTTTTCCATTCAAGTCAGTAAGATGCATAAATGTGTCTCTGTTTGTCTGTCCATAAAGAGGTGCATTACAGGCTGATGGGCTGACTGACCAGAGTTTTCAAGTAAGGACTGTTTCATTGCTAAATTCCTTCATGTAAATTGTTTTACGTCAATATTTGTACATTTAGTAGAGTGACTTGTTAATTATTGTTAATGTAGAATGTGTTGAGGATGTCATGATGGTTTTCTTCATCAGAACGCCTCCTCTGTGCGGGTAACCGTGGAGACAGAGACCGAGTCAGAGGAGGTGGATGCTGCATATGTACCGAGTCCTCAGGAGAAAATCACTAGCTACCAGTTCAGACGAGTACAGAGAGAGAATAATCGATTACAGGTGCCACAGTAACAGCCTATCCAGTTGCTCTCTGTCATGTGTATATTAAGAGAGCTAGGAAAAAAATTCACTTTAGTTACGAGAGACTATTCAGAGAGGTCACATGGATTCGGTAGCACAGGAAAGATTTTTAGCTGAATCCGTGGTCATTGGTGATTCGTAAAATGCAAGTCAACAGCTGCCGTCACTTTGAGAGTCAAAAAAGCATATCAAGGCAACACAAAATGAATACCCGTGGTTCCTGATGATATATTGAAGCCTTATGAAGCGAATCAATCAGTCTATGCAAGAAACTGAACATTATTTACAACGTTATCAGCAGCTCTTCAGTTCTCAGTGACTGTTGGAGGGACTGGAGCGCTGAATGAGTAGACAAAACCAGCAGCATAAGATCATATACACTGGTGCTTTGTCGAGTAGGAGTGACTGTCAGGACTCAGGAATTCAGAACTCAGTGAGTTTTGATTGCGTAACTTGTCAATCTGTGCAGCTCAGATTCAGACGGTTCAGTAATATTTGGTGAACTGGTTCAACCAGTTCACTGAAAAGAACCGGTTCAAAAGAACGATTCGTTCGTGAAATGAACATTTTTGTGTTGCCTGTATATGACTCTCAAAGTGCCAGTAGACACTGCCTTGCTTTTTTTTTTAATCATAAAGGACCATGGTTTCATAAAAAATGTCTTTGCTGTTCTACTCAAGAAAAAAGTTATGTACATCTTGGATGGCCTCAGTAAATTAACAGCAAATTTTCATTTTTAGGTGAACTGTCCCTTTAAAACACACTTTTCAAACGATTTATTTAATTTGTCCACTGACATTTTCCAGCATGTGTCACATGACTGTTCCTTTCCCTCTTTTTTTCAGTAATGTTTTCAGTAATGAACATCTTGAACATTTCCAGCGCTTCTGATGTGTTTGTATTGGTTAAAACCATTTAGTAAAGGAAATTATTGTGGAATTATTAAATGACATTTGTAACATAAATGGATAATTTTACAGTCAGTGTTGTATGTATTATTAATTAAACACTTTGCATAATTTGTCAAAATTAGCAGTTGATTAGATCTACTTACTGCTGTAAACAAGTACACTAACTTAGGAAAAAAAATAAAAATGTTTGGATTGGTGGTAAATGACTGGGCCGTCAAATGTTTTGAAAAAAATATAAATAATTTTCATACAATAAATATGATAATGGCTTATGTTTATTTCCTTCTGTTTAGATTATTATAGTGAAATATGTAATAATCATGTAATAATGCTCCTTTTATAACTACTTTCCATAGTTTGAAGACTGAAAGTCTAGGACATCAGAAAAATAGCAAATATAATTTGTGAAAAGTATAAATGTGACCCTGGAGCACAAAAGCAGTCTTAAGTCGCTGGGGTATATTTGTAGCAATAGCTAAAAACACATTGTATGGGTCAAAATTATAGATTTTTTCTTTTAAGCCAAAAATCATTAGGATATTAAGTAAAGATCATGTTCCATGAAGATATTTTGTAAATTTCATACTGCAAATATATTAAAACTTAATTTTTGATTAGTAATATGCATTGCTAAGAACTTCATTAAAGGCGATTTTCTCAATATTTTTTTTTTTTTGCACCCTCAGATTCCAGATTTTCAAATAGTTGTATCTCAGCCAAATATTGTCCTATCATAACAAACCACACATAAATGGAAAGCTTATTTATTCTGCTTTCAGATGATGTATAAATCTCAATTTCAAAAAAATGACTCTTATGACTGGTTTTGTGGTCCATGGTCACAAATTATGTCATGACAAAAAGTTCCAGATTTTTTGTGATTATAACAAAAAACAAAAAAAGGCCAAAAATGGAAGTACTATACATACAGTGGCACTTTGATATTTTGTAATCTAATGTATGCATGATTTTTTTTAATAGCATGGCTTAAATGTAAGATGTTAAGTGGTTTGGTGCCACTGTACTGTATGTATATACAGTATAAAGGGTAATGTGGTGCAGTTCCTCTCTTCACCAATAGGTAGAGCTGGAAGAGTGTCGTCTGAGGCTGGCGGAGGAGAGGAACGACAGACTGAAAACCAACTCTCGCCTGGTGGAGGTACAAGTATCCCCAGTTATTCAGTTTGAAAAAATATTAATAACATTTCAGAAAGTAAAAGTTATGTGGTTGCAGGGCCGTCCTTAGGGGGGTGCAACTGGTGCGGTCGCACCGGGCCCTTCACTTGAGGGGGCCCTGTGGCAAATGGACCGAGGGGGGCCCCGCTTCCTACCTTGCACCAGGCCCCACCTCAGCTAAGGACGGCCCTGCATGGCTGTATATTAATATGTCTCTTCCTGTAGCTGGAACTGGAGAATGAGCGTTTACGGAGTCTGAACCAATCCCTGTCTGAAGCCCATCTCAGTGCCTCTGTTCTGGAGGACGAACATGTGCTGGAAAGCATCGAATCCTCCTTCCAAAAATTCCACGCATTCCTAGACCTGCTGAAAGATGCTGGGTCTGTCTGATCTCACATTTTACATCTACTGAATGATTTATGCATTACTGTTTTATGCCTTTTTTTCATCAAAAGTCTTGATGCCAAATTAGTATTTTTAAAATGTTGAACCTTTGAAAATTGAATTGGTAATTTCTTGCTGCATGTTAGGCTTGGCCAGTTTGCGTCAATGGCTGGAATAGACCAGTCAGACTTTGGGCTTCTTGCACATCCTCAGCTCTCCTCAACACTAACAGAGAGGACAAGGACACACGCCGACCGAGGGAACCAGAGAAATGAGGAGAGGAGGGAGAGTAATCAGCAGTGAGTAGAAATCAGAGAAGCAAGACATTTTTTAATAATTATTTAATAAAAATAAAGAATTATAATTTTATTAACTACTGTTCAAAAGTTTGGGGTTAGTAAGATATATTTTAAAAGGAATTACATTTTTAATTCATGTTAATATATTGTTTATATTAGGGCTGCACGATTAATTGAATGCGATTGTTATGCGCATTTTGATAGTAAAGCCAGTTCTGTAATCAGCAGGAAATCATCATCACATGCTTTCAGAGTCGAAGATTTACTGCTGATCACAGAGCCACGCTTCACTGAAAGATACGCACGACAATCGCAGCTTCTGTCGAAGATTTACTGCTGATCGCAGAACCGCGCTTCACTGAACGATACGCACGACAATCGCAGCTTCTGTCGAAGATTTACTGCTGATCGCAGAACCGCGCTTCACTGAACGATACGCACGACAATCGCAGCTTCTGTCGAAGATTTACTGCTGATCGCAGAACCGCGCTTCACTGAACGATACGCACGACAATCGCAGCTTCTGTCGAAGATTTACTGCTGATCGCAGAACCGCGCTTCACTGAACGATACGCACGACAATCGCAGCTTCTGTCGAAGATTTACTGCTGATCGCAGAACCGCGCTTCACTGAACGATACGCACGACAATCGCAGCTTCTGTCGAAGATTTACTGCTGATCGCAGAACCGCGCTTCACTGAACGATACGCACGACAATCGCAGCTTCTGTCGAAGATTTACTGCTGATCGCAGAACCGCGCTTCACTGAACGATACGCACGACAATCGCAGCTTCTGTCGAAGATTTACTGCTGATCGCAGAACCGCGCTTCACTGAAAGATACGCATGACAATCGCAGCTTCTGTCGAATCGTGATCTCGATTCCATTTCGATTTATCGTGCAGCCCTAGTTTACATATATTAGTTTATATTTTTACTTTTATTTTTCTATTTATTTGTTACTTTTTTCATCAATTTACCTTGCATAAAATTTATTAAAAAGTTACAGTAAAGACATTTATAATGCGACAAAAGGTTTCTCGTTCAAATAAATGCAGTTTTTTAAAAGTTTTTATTTGTGAAAAGATGAAAAAAATTAAAAATGTTTCCACAAAATTTGTCCAATAACATTTTCCAGCATGTGTCACATGACTGTTCCTTTCCCTCATGTTTTCAGTAATGAACATCATGAACATTTCCAGTGCTTCTGATGTGTTTGTATTGGTTAAAACCATTTAGTAAAGGAAATTATTGTTGGTTAAATAACATTTGTTACATAAATTGCTAATTTACAGTTAGTGTTGTTTGTATTATTAATATACACAATAAAATAAAATAAAACACTTTGCATAATTTGACAAAATTAGCAGTTGATTAGATACTTCATCTACTTACTGCCGTAAACAAGTACACTAACTTAGAAAAAAGAGAAAATGTTCGGATTAGTGGTAAATGACTGGGCCGTCAAATGTTTTGAAAAATAAATAATTTTCATACAGTAAATATTGTAATGCCATTAAAATTATTTATTTATTTCCTTCTGTATTAATTTCCCTCTGTTTAGATTATTATAGTTAAATGTGTAATAATCATGTAATAATTCTAGGGATGTCCCGATCAGGTTTTTCGTGCCCCCGCTCCGATCCGAGTCATTGAATATTAAGTATCTGCCGATACCGAGTCCCGATCCGATACTTGGATATTCCTATAGGAATGTATGTTTGGTGCACGCTTCGAGTACATCAGTTATTAAAATCAGTACAATGTATACAGAGTACATGAAATATATGTATGATGTATGTTTATGTATATATTACAAGATACACACTCTCTCTATGTATCAGCATATCAGAATGATTTCTGGAGGATCATGTGACACTGAAGACTGGAGGAATGATGCTGAAAATACAGCTTACATCACAGAAATAAATTACATTTTAAAATATATTATCCGATCCGAGTCATTGAATATTGAGTATCTGCCGATACCGAGTCCCGATCCGATACTTGGATATTCCTATAGGAATGTATGTTTGGTGCACGCTTCGAGTACATCAGTTATTAAAATCAGTACAATGTATACAGAGTACATGAAATATATGTATGATGTATGTTTATGTATATATTACAAGATACACACTCTCTCTATGTATCAGCATATCAGAATGATTTCTGGAGGATCATGTGACACTGAAGACTGGAGGAATGATGCTGAAAATACAGCTTACATCACAGAAATAAATTACATTTTAAAATATATTTGAATAGAAAACGGTTATTTCAAATTGTAATAATATTTCACAATATTACAGTTTTTCCCCCCTGTTGAAATAACTGCAGCCTTGGTGAGCATAAGACAGATCTTACCAACCTCAATCTTATGAATGGTAGCGTATTTATTTTTTAATAATTAACATTTACTATTATTTAACTACATTATTATTATTTCTCTAATCACCGCACAGAAGGCAGACATCCCTCAACCTGAATCAGGGACCCGTTCAGAACCTCCTGCTAGCACTGAAGACGTTCCCCGGCCTCATTCTCAACAAGAAGTGCCTCTGAGTCCAGTCAGCTTGTGTGGTGCCTCCCCAGCTTCACAGGAGCCGCTTGAGTTTGAGACCCCTGAGAGGAGCAGAGAGTCATCGGACCCTTCAAACCACCAGTGGGCCGGCGGAGGCTCTCACTCAGTCGGTTCAGTCAGTAGTGCCAGTCTTCAGTCCAAAACCTCAACGTCCTCCAGAGGGAATGGATCCGTGTGCTCGGCTCTTAACTCGAGAGCGTCTAGTCTGTCTCGGTTGGGTTCAGGCAGACAGAGCGCTTCAGGAGGCCAGAGAAGCGCTGCTGGATTGATTGGGTTTTAGAGCTGAATCAGCTGGAGAGATGGTTGTATATCTGTTGCTGCTGTCATCTTGACCTGTCCAGTGTATATTGAGAGTTATGTGGAGACTGTAAATGACCTGTTCTAATCCTATTATATGTTTGTTTGAAAAGTTGGAGTGCTGCATGTCATTCCAGGTACAATATGTGTTTTATTCATAGATATGAATGCTGTTTAGATTGATAGACTATGGCGTTTTATTTATAGTATGTTTGCAGTTCAGTGACACTAAGCTTATTATATAAGACTTTTAGTAGATTTGTGTGTGATTGCTAAATTGATTGATATTTGTGATTGATTAAAAACAGTGAAATCAAATTTGCCATCTGCTAATTGTTGTCCTGATTTTTCTAGAAATCATTTTTCATTTGAAAATAAACCAGTCTTTGAATTTGCCAGTGTGCTATTTGATTCAGAAATACTATTCAGACTGTATTATTATTATTTATTTTGAAAACCATCATGCACAATAGAAGTTTGACAATTAAAAGAAAATTAATACATTCCTATGTATTGCTAAAACAATGACTCAATTATTTGAAACTATTTCAATAGTTTATTAATATTTTTAACTAGTTACATTTACAAGTACAAGTAAATGTACAATCAGTCATTAGGCAGTCATCTATTAATAAGCAGTGTCGGGGAAAGTTACTTTTAAAAGTAATGTATTACAATATTGCGTTACTCCATAAAAAGTAACTAACTGCAAGTGACTTTTCATGGAAAGTAATGCATTACGTTACTTTTGTGTTACTGTTTGTCACCTGAGCTGGGCTTGCTTATTTATTTTGCAATAACAAAACACCCAAAAGTTATATTTTTGGCAACTGTAAAGGCCCTTTCACAAAAAGCCTGAGACTCGAGCTGTGCCTCTGTCTCTGCCCCTCACTCCCGAGTTCCCTCATCACAGCGTCAGGACAGCTGTCAGTGAATAAATGGGAAAGCAAAGTAACTTGCGTTACTTATTTGAAAAACAAAAAAAGTAACTAATATTTTCTTGTAAATGTAAAAGTAATTAATTACTTTTTTTTTTTTTTTTACTATTTTCAACTTTAATTGTTACTTTAATTTAAAACAAAAGTAACTAATATTTTCTTGTAAATGTAAAAGTAATTAATTACTTTATTTTTTTTTTTTTACTATTTTCAACTTTAATTGTTACTTTAATTTAAAACAAATATTTATATATTTATTATTATTATATACTTATTTATATATTTTTATTTTTTATTTAATCTCTCGAACAATTTGAGAAACGGGACGTTGAGAACTGAGATCTGACACGTGATTGGCTGTTTGCGGCCGCGCGTGTGCTCACTCGTCCAATCGGAGCGCTCGACACTGACTTCACCTCAGCGACTCTCCTCCGAGCAGAAGATCATGCTGGTAAGTAGCAGCTCTCCATCAAAACAACAAACATGCAAACACAAAACACAGCTTTGCAGTTGGACTCACGGCGAAAGTATTTCACTTTTATAAAGTATTAGGAAATTGAGCGTTACATGGAACCGTTGTAGCTTTGTAAGTTCAGCTGGGCTTCTGCTGCTAGCGTTGCTAGCCTGTTGTTGTTGTTGAGTGGGGTTGATAAACATAGCGCTGTTAACAAGCAATGTGTGCAACAACACCGTCGTTTTGATGTCTGCGAAGCATCGGATGAATTATTGTGCATTTGCTTATCAAGCTAGCAGTGGAATCTGCCATGGTTCCCATCAATGCACAATGTGTCGTATTGGGGAAAATGCTCCCTCAAGAACACTGTACTTTTATTGGCATGTTATTGGGAGTTTAGCATATGTAACATACTATCTGAGGAAACACTGGCCAATTTGATTGTTATAGCACAACATTGTAAATCTTAAAGGGGGTAATCTTGTCCCATTGTTGGGGCTAAACTACCCTGTACAAAGGCATGAAGTGAATTATAAAAAGACAGTGTAAAAAAAAAAAAAAAAAGTTAGCATAAATGTATGCTTAGTGTAAATAGTGGGGGTTGCTATTTGCTTGAATCATTAATTTCATCAAATAGCATCTTGTTTATGGTAAGTGCAAAGTGTAGATTTTGCGATATATTCTGTGCATGTTCACATAAAACGCTATAGAGTTTGCCTTCACACCACCAGCTGGATGCATAGATATAACCAGTCCCATGTGTACTTGTTGATGCCACGATCAATTGAATGCATTTACTGAAAATCTTCCAAAATGCCTCTTTTCTAAATTCGGTGCAAGGGACAGTCACAGACACATTATCAATACATGTGTAGAGATGTAATGATATATAGTAATATGGTATGCCAATATCATATGACCTAAATAAATGTGAATAAATAAGCTTTCCATTGATGTATGGTTTGTTAGGATCGGACGATATTTGGCTGAGGGTGCAAAAAAAATCAAAATATTGAGAAAATTCGCCTTTAAAGTTGTCCAAATTAAGTTCTTAGCAATACATAGTACTAATCAAAAATTAAGTTTTGATATATTTACGGTAGGAAATGTACAAAATATCTTCATGGAACATGATCTTTAATTAATATCCTAATGATTTTTTTGGCATAGAAGAAGAAAAATCTATCATTTTGACCCATACAATGTATTTTTGGCTATTGCTACAAATATACCCCAGCGACTTAACACTGCTTTTGTGCTCCAGGGTCACATTTATATTTATGCCTTTCCGTACTAGATTCTGATTAATATTGTGTGGTCAACTCTTTTTTCTATATATAAAAATATTATATGAGAGGAGAGAGATATTATAAACTATTATAAACTAGCACTGCTCAAATCAATTTAATGTCAGTTTATTTTTCATTTTTTGGATATAGTCATGTAATAATTCAGGGTTATGATCCAGTTAACCAGTTAATTTTCATTTTTATTTATTTATTATCTTGCACCACAACAGATGCTGATGATTGGAATGAATGATCCTTAATAAAGAAGAAACATGGCAAGTCACTCTATATGTTTTATGCTTTGTTAGACCTGCTTCTGTCATATTGTTCATTTCATTTGTTCACTGTATTCATGTATCTTCTTCAAATCACAGATCCGGATAGCTGCTCTGAATGCGGCGTCTCAGGCTGCGGATGAGCATGAAGACGCCGTCAGAAGCACTAAACCCAGTCAAACAAAGGAAGCCCAGGTGAGTCAGATGCTTTCAAACAGATTCTCTTAAGTATGTTATGTTTTTTTTTTATAGTTTAACCCTGTAAAGCCTGACATATGAATTGTAGTGGAACTGTTTATTGAACCTTTTGGCAAAATGTACGTGAAAGCATTTGCATATGTGTTTTTTGTTGAGTATCATATTGGATAGATCAGGCTTTTATGGCTCATATAATATAATATAGGAGAATATGTAGCTAAAATGTATAGAATCAAAACATATAATTCAATGTAATACAATACGCTGAGAGATTAACAAATAAAGCTTCATCAAACGACTGAGTGATGGTTTTTAATACTCACAATCCAGTGAGAGTTCATCTTGAAATATTACTGATAATATAAACGTTATTCTTACATTTACTTAGGGCTGGACAATAATTCAATATCAATATGTATTGCGATATAATTTTTTTCAATAACGGTGATATGATTTTTAAACACATTTCCGATATTTCGATATACATTACCAGTGTCTCCCATACATTGATTTATTTGTGGCGTTTGACTTCGTTTAATAAACAGGAGCACTGCACGTTTCAAAATCAAAACGCGTCGCGGGTGTTTTATATTAATGCATCTCTGAAGGGAACCGACTCTAAAATATTATATCGTTTTATAGAAGTAGGTTTCATAGAGTTGGCAAATTAATTTTTCATAAGTTTGTAGGTACAGACATCTGTTGTGGCCGTTCTTGGCCGTTTTTATGAGGCTTTTTTAACAGTGTTCATATCGATATCGGAATTATATCGTATCGACCGAAATTAAGAAATATATCGTGATATAAATTTTGGCCATATCGTCCAGCCCTACATTTACTTTATAAAAATCTGTCAAGATATCACAGCAAAAAGACACATGAGCCACAAGCTGAAAGGGGGACATTTTTTTACAACTAAAAGACCATTTACTTGTTGAAAAAGTATGAACTATCAGTCAGATGACAGAAAGCATGTAGTAAATTGTGAACAACAGGCTTTTCATCAGTCATGCTGATCAATTAGAGGCCTTTTTGTGTGTCAGATATGATACAGTAGGCTTTATAGGGTTAATAAAATTGTTCAATCCAATATAACTGTTTCCTTCTCATTTGTATTTTTAAGGAGGCAGAAGCGTTTGCTCTGTATCATAAAGCTCTTGATCTGCAGAAACATGACAAGTTTGACGAGTCTGCCAAAGCCTACCATGAGCTCCTCAAGACCCCACTGCTCAAGGAGGTACAGCACACTCTTTCAGCTCTGATCATTATAACATCTTACCATGAAATCCAGAATGTCTTTCATTTTATTTAGCTTTAGCTTTACAATTGCTTTCTATTTTTCAAAGACAGTGTGTGATTAATTATTAGTGATCTTTTTTTTCTTGCCCCAGGCAGTGGCATCTGAAGATGAGAAAGTTGGACTCAAGCATCCTGGACTGATGCTGAAGTACTCCACCTATAAAAACCTGGCCAGTCTTGCTGTGCTCAGAGATGATTTCGACACTGCCATGGACTTCTATGTGCAGGTAAATGCGTACTTTGAACAAATCACAAAGTGCAAAGGTGCATAATTTGTCCTGCATTTGCATTTAATGTTAACATGGTATTAACTCCTCCAGTGTAACAGTGAGAGCCACTGGACAGACAGTTTGGACACAGCTGAGTCTCTGAATGTCTGTGTGTCTTGCAGGCTGTCATGCTGGACTCCACAGATGTGAGTATGTGGTATAAGATGGGAAAGTTGGCTTTGAGGAAGGCCAGCATGCCTTTGGCCCGCCATGCGTTTGAGGTGGGCTTACGCTGTAACCCGGACCACTGGCCCTGCCTAGACAGTCTCATCACGGTCCTCTACGCTCTCAGTGACTACAGCTGTGAGTCAGAAAACCTCTGTACAACATACAAGCAGATAGGGCTGGGCGATAAAACGATAACGATAATTATCGCGATATAATTTTCCCTCGATAAAACGAAATGAATAGTTCGATATAATGTTTATTTGTAATGTTTCCACCAAAAGTGGAATGAACCACTGGTGTAGTTACACTAACTGCACCATGGTATTGTGGCAGAAATGAGGGGATATTCATGTCGAATTTTATTATGTTATTAATGTAGACATGTATTATGTGAGAAAAGTACTTTTGGAGCCAAGGCCACTGAACAAGTAACCAGTTCCTGTTGTGAATGCTGTTTTATGTAGTCTTTGCGGGCATAAAGGTTTGTAGTTCTTTTGGATTTCCTGCCGCTAGCTTTTCATCATATTCTGAGTTAGCAGAGAAGTCACAGCATTATGTTCTGTTCTTTTTGTCTCGTAGGTTGCCTGTACAACATCTGTAAGGCTCTGGAGAAGGACACCGGCTACAGTAAGGGGCGAGTGCTCAAAGAGAAGATCTTTGAAGAGCAGCCCTGCCTCAGACGAGACTCTATGAAGATGTTCTCCAAACTGTATGTACCTTCTCCTGCTCATTCAGATGAGCTTATAATGTGGCATTCACCATTTATACAGTTGACGTAGAAACTTTGTAATGTTCATCACCCTGAGTTTGTCTGCCTGTGTTTTGGCTGCAGTGATGTGTCAGTGCAGTACGTGGATGTTGATGAGGAGGAAGCCAACAGCATTGTAGAGGAAGCGCTGGAGCTGAGGAGACAGAGACAGGCTAAACTCACACGGCATCCTGTAGCTGACCTGCAGCTGGTTCTGCCCATCAAATACTTCACGTGAGTCCATGCCACTGTTAATCCACAGAAAATTTGTGCTACATTTTGTTTGAAGGAATATCATGGGTTATTTTCAGTAACATTTATCATTATACTTAATAAAATTAATAATTAGTCAAGCATTAAAATAACATTTAATACCATTTATGTGATTTATTTATGTCTATGGGCTGCTTCTGTGACGAGTAAAAAATAAAAAAAAACAATCGATGATTTGATGTTTCATCATCAACGGTATAAAAGAAATAGACACTTTTTAATATTTTTATAGATTATTCTTCAAAACACATATATTTACACCGGTTGACAGATTTCTGCATATTTTTACTGTCTGCTGATAAAAAAATTTGGGGTCAGTAATTAAATTAAAAAAACATTCTTGAAATAAGTCTCTTAAGCTCACCAAGGCGGCATTTATTTAATTAAAAAATACAGTAAAAATAGTAATATTGTATAATATTACTACAGTTCAAAAGAACTGTTTTGTCTTTTAATATATAAAAAAATGTAAATTATCCATGTGATGCAAAGCTAATATGCTGATTTGCTGCTCAGGAAACATTTCTTATTATCAGTGTTTAAATTAGTTGTGCTGCAAAAATGTTTTGTAGATTTTCTTTTCAGGATTATTTAATTAATATAAAGATAAAAAAACCTGCATTTATTTGAAATATAAATCTTTTGTAACTATAT